AAGAAAAAAAAAAATTCAATGAAGCATTGAGGCAAGTGAATTGCTAGTTCAAGGCTGGCCTGGGCTGTTTAGTGAGACTCTGGGCTCTTTAGAAAAAGTTCCAATGAAAGGGGGCAGAGGAGCGGTTACCAGCCTGGCTCTGCCGACCATGCCTGAGGCCCCGGGGTGGATGCCTTTCAATGCAGAAGGAAAGCAAATCTTCCAGCTTCCTTCTCTCACCAGCATAGAATTGCCTCTTCTGGACTCTCACCAAGAGCAATCCTGTGTTGCAGAAACAGCTTCAATATGAGTGCCCTCCCCCTCCCCAGGACAGGGCCTGGCTCAGTGTGTGCAGGCAAGCCAGCCCACCCATCTTCTCAGCTCTTCACGCATCCACCCCCTTCTCTGGGGATACAGGTGGAGAGAAATCTCCATCCTCTACCTATAAAAATGACTTTCACCACACTTTATAGTGATAGCAGTTTGGGGAGGGTACGAGAGGGCCCTTTATCCCCAAAATTAATTTTATTGAAGTCCCTCTGTCCCCAAGTAAAGGTAGCATTGAAGGGGGTGGCCGGCCGCCCGCGGTGCCCTCCCCCCATTCTGCGCCTCGCCTGCTTTGGAGTGCGCCCAGGACCGGCGCGGGTGTGCTGCGCGCTCCAGCTGTTCGCGGTGGGGCGGGGGAGGGCGCCCTCTGGGGCTGGGGCCTGGCAGCCCCGGGCTGGGGACGCGGGTGACGGGCGGCTGGAAGCCAAGCCAGGCGTCGCTTTATTCTCTGCTTACCTTTGCCCTGCCTGGGACCCCGAGCTGCCGGGAGCGGGTATGGGACGCGGGGACCCAGGCCTTTGTGTTCCCGTCCCAGATCTCGGCCCGCCGCGCCGCGCACCTACTACGCGCGCCGGGCCTCCCCACCCGGGGCCCGCGCCCCCCACCCGGGGCCCGGCCCGCCCCGTCCACTCGGGGCCCGCGCCGCACCCACGGCCACCCCGCGCCCCCTGCCCGGCCGCCCCCCTCCGGCTCCTCCGCAGATGGCCGCCGGCCCAGGGTCCTTTCTCCGCCGTGGCAGCGGGCTCGGAAGCCGCAGTGCCCGAAAGCCCGGAGCATCTGCGGCCCGGCTCGAGGAGGGGAGGGCGGGCGGAGTCGCCGGCGCGGGGCGGGGCCGGCGGGCGGGGCGGGGCGGTGGGAGGCGGCCAGGCCCCGGCCCCAGCTCCGGCTGCTGCTCGGGCTCCAGCTCCGGCTCCGGCTCGGCTCCGTGCGCCGCCCAGTCCCGGGCCGAGAGCAGCCGGGGAACGGCGCCGAGCGTGTGCATCGGGAGCCGGGAGCGGGCCGAGCCCCTCCAGGCCGCCGCCCGCCGCCCCGCCCGGAGCTGCCGGCCGCGGCCGCCCATGGAGTTCACCTGACCCGGGGCCCGCGGAGCGGCTGTCGGCCCGGGCGATCGGAGCCCCACAGCCCGGGCGCCGCGGCCACGCGCAGATTGGCAGCAGAGCTAGTTGGGAGAACCCCTGGGAGCCGCCGCGGGCCCTCCGGGGAGGCCCGGCCCCGCCGCCGGGACCCCGGGCCGCGCCGCCCCGGCCCCGCCTCCGCCCCGCCTCCGCCGCGCACATGGCCTCCTTTGTCCTGCCGCCGCCGCCGCGCGCCTAGCCCCGCGCCCGGCCCCGCCTCGCCCCGCGCCCGCGGGCCCCGCCTCGCCCGGCCCCCGCCCGGCCCCGCGACCCCGACGCGCCCAGGAGGCGGAGCGGTGCGGGCGGCGCCCGGCGGGGACTCGGCCGGGCTGGATGCGCGCGGCTCCCGGCCGCCCGGAGGCGCCGCTGCCCGCGGCTGCGATCGGCCGGCGCGGCGGACTCGGAGGACGGAGCGGGGCGCGCGCGCGGCGGGGCCCCGCTGAACACTCGGGCCGCGAGCCCCGGCCGGCGGCGCCGCGTCCGCCTCGGAGACCAGGTAAGGCGGCGCCCGGCGCCATCGCGGAGCCCGCGCGCAAACGGGGCTTCCGGGGCCCGGGGCTTTGTTGCAGCGGCCGGGCCGGCGAGCGCGGGTGGCCGGGGCAGGCTGCGGGCGCCCGGCCCTTCCTCCTCCTCCTTCGCCGCCTTTGTACTTTCCGGACGCGGCCGGGCGGGGCGTGAGGGGCCCGGGCCGGGCCAGGGCCGCCCGGGATTCGGAGAGGACGGAGCCCGCCCGGGCCTGGTGCTGCCCCGCCGGCGGCCGGGTCGGGATCCGGAACGCGAAGGCCCTGCGCACGGGGCCGGGCCGGCCGGGCCGCGGCGAGGGCGGAGGACCCAGCGCCTAAGTTCCGAGGGGTTCGTGTGCGGGGCGACAGCGGGGGCGGGGCCGGGCCGGGCCAGCTCCCCGCCCGGGCCTCGCGCCCCGCGCCCGCCCGGAAGGCGGCGGCCCGGCCCCGCGGCCCGCGTTCGGGTCACTTCTCCAACTTTTCCGGGGACGTCGGCCACGGCCCGGCGCGCTGTGGGACGAGGATAACAGACGGAGCTCGCGATCGCAGAGCCGCCGCCGATCCGGCTTTGTGCGGGGTTTGGAGTCCGCCCTTCGTGCCCCGCGGTGCCTGGTCCTCCCAGAGCCCGCTGCCGGGCGACCCCGCGATCCCGCGCCGAGCGCGCGGGCCGGGAAGAAAGGAGGAAGCGGCGCCTGCCGAGCCGGGGCCGCCCGGGCGTCCGCGCAGCTCGCGCCCCGCGCGCCTCCTGACCGCCGGGGAGAAGGAGAAGAAGCCGCCGCCGAGGACCGCCGCGATCGCGGCCCGCCGGATGACCCACGCCGAGGCGGGCGCGGATGGAGGGCGCGCGGCTCCCCGGGCGGGCGCGGCTCTCGCCGCGGCGCCCCGCCGCTCGCACTGAGGCCGCCCTGGCCCCGACCACCCGGTGTGAAGAGCGGGACACGGAGCTCCTTTGTGGCTGGCCGAAGCCCTTAGACTCGCAGCGTCTTGGGGCGCCCCTCGGAGACGTACTCCAGACCGGCGGCGGCCCTCCCCGTCTCGGACACCGATGACGACGTGGGCCCCGCGCCTTTATGCGCGGCTTCTCCACGCCGCCCTCGCTGCTGGGCTCTGACAGTCAGGCTCGGAAGCCCGGCCCAGTCTCGGGGACCCCCCCAAGGGCCCTCCGACAGCCCCAGGGGGGCCCCTCCCCAAGGCCCGATGGCAGGACCCAGCGCCTGTCCCCCGCACAGCGCCCGCAGGTGGAGGCCGCCCGGGGCCCGGCGGCTCCGGCTCTGCTCCCCGCCTCTGCTCCCCGCCGTGGGCCGAGGGGGCGGGGAGGATGGCTCCCTTCCCAATTTCTTGGGGCCAATTAGACATGTAATAGGTAATCTCAAAAATGTCAAGGGTCATTTCAGTCTGATAAAATGATTCGGACTCGGCTTGTTTGTTCCTTTTTAAAAATGTCAAATTTATTCTATGGCTCCACACCCCCTTTTTTTTTTCCTTTTTTTTTAAAGCCATGAATGTAGCAACCAATTCGAGAGAATTTCAAGCCCTCCTAAGACTTTCTCGCTGAAGAATGAAAATTCTTGAATTTCAATTCCGTTTCAATGAAATCCTCACCCTGCTAAGTTTTTAACTAGAACGTTTGCCGGCCTACAAACCTCACTTTGTAGCTGGTAAAAATAACCCCTGGGGCAGAATTTTTGCCTTTCCAGCTCAGTATTTTTTATCTGCTTAACTTGTTTCTCCCTCTAATACTGTTTTTTTTGTGTGTGTATATGTTGTTTTTTAGTGGTTTGTTTCTATGAAAACCTACTATATTTGTCTAATTTTGTTTAAGATGGCAGGAAAGCTTCCAGTCTGTTCTTTATTATTGGAGCAGAAAGAGGGAACTGTCTTCCTAGGGCTGATGTTAAATTGTGCATCTGTGGGTATGGCACAGGCAGTGGTTTTAGTTCGCTGGCCTTGCTCCTGCTAATCTTCTGAACCACCCTCTATAGAAAGAAGATTAGAATTGAAATGAAGGAAAAAGTAGCCACAGCAAAAATACTTTGTCTTTTGTTCTGTCACACGTGCCGAGAACTAGAACGCTTTCTTGGGATAAACCCGGGCTGTTTTGTCTCCAGCATTGTAACCCTGAGAGAAGAAGTAGAATACCTTCTTTGTCCCCCATTTCTTACGTGTCTTTCCTCCGTATTTATGGAACATTCTGTGCCTCACTTTATCAGGACCCCATCCCTGTACCCAAGAGGATACATAGCAAAAAAAACATTAATAGAGGTCCCCCACCTCGCATTATTAAAGGCACGTCCGTCTGCCGCTTATGAGTGCATTGTTCATTTTTCAATTTTGCAAGTCCTCAAAATATTTGCAGCTTCTGAAGTGAGATAGTGTTTTCCACGTAACCCACTTCATGTTTTATTTTCCGGAACATTACTGTATAATTTAAGCTGACTGTATAGTCTTGCTATTTAAATAGCCTTATTTCACCTTCCTGAAGCCAGAGTAATAATTAGCAGGTGTAATGTCTAGAAAATGCAAAGGAAACAAATAATGCTGGCAGCAATGCAGTCGTGGTCGGTCGGCTTGCATCTTGTTTGAACACCAAAGTTGTTGTGGAACAGGGACCTTTGGGGTCAGAGGAATCCTTACAAAATTAATTTCTGGAACCCCTGGTTGGCACTTCAGTGAGGAAGTACTTACCGTTGAATAATAGGCATTTCTGATTTGTGGCTGGAGACTAACCATGTCTGCAAATACCATGCAGAAAATACCATTTCCAAAACCACGATCCACCGGTGAAATTGGAAAATCACTGTGTGGATGAGCTGGATTGCTTTGTGTGTCGTCTCTTCAAAATATGTTTTGCACAGATAATATGTCTAATAAGGACACATTTTAAAAAATCAAGATATTTTCCCCCCTCCAGTAAATAGCTGCACTGCAGGTCGTTGTCAGGCAGTCAGCTAGCCCCACCTATGGGTGGCTTGGTGGAATTGCTGCTTTCCCTGTTCGAATGAAGTGAACTGATTGAGCAGCCCAGACAGTGTTCATAAAAGTCCTAACACCTCTCTTCCCCTCTTGTGTGTTTCAGGCATCGGATGCTAGCTCCGAGAAACTCTTCAACACTGTTCTTGTAAACAAAGGTAAGACTCTTCCTTCATTCTTAAAGTAGTGCTTTAAAAAATAGATGTGTAAATTATGCATCTTTATCTCATCCATCCTTGCGTTGGAAGGACAAAAGAAATAACCCTAGGGCAGTCTTTTTATCCTGGAGCTACTATATTTTTTCAGTCCTAACTTAAGACAGAAGTCACACCCTTTTGTGGTATTCGGACAGAAGGTGATTTTAAGAACGCACTGAATGCTCAGGTGGGTTTCCCGATGAAATCACGCTGGACGGGACCAGACAGACCCTGGAAAAGCCTCACTGGCTTGTTATTAATCACTGGGTGCTTGGAACTGCCCTCAGATTCGAGGTGGTTGTCAGGAGATGACGGCCATAAACCATGCCTTACTATGCTGCAGGCTTCCTGTACGGCAAGTAGCCGAACCAGAGGGCAGGATTTAAATCTGCCCTCTCCCAGTCACGCTCTCTGAGCCTCGAACTCCAAGAGGAAGGGCTGATGACACAGCCTTGTGTTGAGGGGCAGCGTCCCCTATGTTGGGGCCAGTGGGCTCCATGTGTTAGGAATATTTTCAGGAGTAATGAAATTCCGAGGGATCTCTAATCACTGCCTTTGAAAGGTGTGAATTATCCAGCTCAGTCTCCCTGTTTCCAGCGTGCCACTTGCTGTAGCCTTTCAGAGAGAGTTCCTCTGCAGCGAGGGCAGTGTTGGCTGGAGGTTTGCTTGATAGCTGGGACTGATCCTGGCCCGGCATGGTAGGGGGGGCTGGTCAGTTGTCTTGGGCGGCATTTTTTGCTAGTGGGGTTGGTAAGACATTTCCCAGCTAGATTATTTCGAGCTCCCAGATGACTTTGGAATGTGACGCGAGTGCAGTTGTCAGTAGTGCGTTGGCGTGGAGCTCCTCAAAGGGGTGGCCCGCGCCCACATGACTGCTGTGGCTCTCAGAATGACTGTCCTGTTGAGTCTCGTTTACTGCATGATAGACCTCCAAGTTTAGTACTTTATTGCATTTTTTGATACGCTGAAAGTTGGTATAACTTTCTTATCCATAATGCTAGAATCTAGTAAGGTGTATGCGTTAAATTGTGGGCACCGTGGGTAATTGCCGGCTGGTGGCTTGCTGAGGGGAGAGGATTGGTGGGTGTGGGCAATGTCTGTGAGATGGAAGAGTCACAGAAGGCTGGACTGAGGCAGGTCACAAAGGCTAGTCTCCCAGGAGTCTCTCACCAACCACATGGATTAGAGTAGAGTGCTTTGTCTCTGGTAGGTAAACGTTGGGAGTGTGTCTCCCTTTTCTGGAATGTACCACAGAGATGAATGAGTGACTGAAGCCTGAGGAGAAGGGATAGGTAGATAGGTGGATGGACGGGTAGATGGGTGGACAGGTAGATGTGTGGACAGATGGATGAGTGGGTGGACGCACAGATAGATAAGGGCCCTCCCCTCTGCCTCCTCCCTGTGTGTCCCTCCCCGCCCTTCCCCATTTCCACTCAAACATTTCTCCAATTCTTACTTTGTTTACTTACCGAGTGTGATTTGTGCTTGTGTTTGGCTGTGAATAGTTGCCCCCTGGTAAGGGAGCCTTTCTTGCGAGCTGCACCTCTGGGGGTGATTTAGTTGCCTTGAAAGGATTAAGGGTTCTTTGTGTAGTCTAAAATCAACATGGGCTTTTTCTAAGCGTGGCTTGGGAAACCATGCACAAATAAGCATTTTAGCTGATGGCAGATTACTCCTCTGCCCCTCATTTCCATCCCAATGGCCTTTCTGTTCTCCTCCCCTGTCTCCCTTAATGCCTTATTCTGATTCTTGTGGGGATTGTGAAGAGAGGGAGAGAGCCAGAGTTGGGTGGAAATCCAGGTGCCAGAGACTAAGCCCAGTGCCCAGCACCTGTCCCAGGAGTGGGGAGGGGAGGAGAGGAGAGAGGATATCAGGGTAGGGCCTGCTTGACAGGACACTGTTGTTAAGGGGATTAGTATTCAGACCGCTAAATATCAGGCAAACAACCTGAGGAAAGGGACTCCCTCCCTGCTCAGCCGGAACATCCACAGTGGCTTCCGGACAGGTGCAGTTTCTGTCTGTGCGCCTGTGGTTTGGGTCTGTGTGGTTTCCCGCATGGGTGGCTGACAAGGCATTGGGGCACCAAGTGCAAGCACTTCCACAAAGCAGCCGGCCTGCCCCAAAGTCATCCGTCCTCTCAGTGGCTAGGTTATTGTTGTCTCCTCCTTCTCCTTGTCCTTGTCATCCTTCCTCTTCTTCCCCAAAAGCAATAAAAAGTACTTGAAGAAAAGGTACATTTACAGCCATGTAGCAAACACTACTGGGAAGAAAACAAACCTCCAAGCCTCCACGGCGGCGTGCACCAGGGCCTGAGCAGCAGGCAGGGGGCTGGCCCGAGCCTCTCCACCTCCAGGTGGTTATGGCTGTGCTCCTGCTGCTGCTGTGACAGCGGATTTGGCTGTAAAATGTCCCTGTGGGGGAGCGGCGCTAATCTCCGGCTGGCTTTGATACTCAGCCCTAGAGGCTGAGCCAGCAAGGGGGCTCAAGCTGTCAGCCTCTGTGGGCCTGGATTGCCCATCCCCACAGAGTCTGACAGTCTGGGGCCGACCAGCCAGCATCTCCTGGAGACAGTCCACCCAGAGGAGCAGGCTCTGCGACTCACCCAGGATTTTCTTCCGCTTTGCCTGGGTCACACAGGAGATCGCTCATTGCTCAGGAGAGAACCGAAGCATCTTTTGTTCAAGCCTTCCCAAATGTCTCTTTGCATGGGTCTGTGTGTGTGCACGGGTGTGGGTGTGCACGCATGCATGCGCGCATGCCATGTGCACACAAGGATGTGTGTGCACCAGCATCTGGGTCTCGACTTGAGGCCTAGCACGCTCACTCACTCTTGGTTTTTTCACTTAAAGTCAGTGTTCTACCATTGAGCCACAGCTCCATTTGTGGCTTTTTGCTGCTTAATTGGAGATAAGGGCCTCCGGGATGTTTCTTGTTTCAAACCTCCATCTCAGATCTCAGCCTCATGAGTAGCTAGGATTACAGGCATGAGCCACCTTGCTAGGCCTCTTTTGATGGCCTGTCTTAAAGCACATTCCTCAAGCATCACATACACTCCTGCCTGTGCGCATTGTATGCCCTGAGAACTGAACATCTCGGGGGACAGGGGCAGCTTTGAGTGGCGGAGTCAGCCCTGTGAAGGTAAAACTGTAGTTCCATTGTGATCAAGGTCATGGTTGCTTTGTTTAATCCTGACGCATCTCAGTGTTTACAGGATGTTCATGTGAGTTTTATGAATCCTTCTGTCTTTGTGTCTGAGCCATCTGCCAGAGAAAAAAATTAATTTTCCCTCTGAGTTCCCCCCCCCCTCGCAATGCAGGAGCAACAGGCTCTGTACCCTAGTGTCAGGAGTACGTGTGCAGGAGAGGAACTTTCTAGATTAAAAAGTTGATTGCGGCCAGAGTTCATCCCCTTCTTCCCTCCTGTTTTACACCCAGCCTCCCTTCCACTGTGGTGTGAGGACCAGGGAATGGGTGCAGCCTAGAGGACTTCTCCCCACTTAGATAAGGTCATCTCTTCTCAGCCTCACTCCCCCCCACCCCCATGGCAGCCACAGTGGAGGGGGGAAGGCAGAGGTGGCCAGCCTTGCAGGGGAGACCTGGGATGATGCCAGCCCTGGTGGATGCCCTGGATGCTGGCTTTTCGTGCCTTGGCCACCCAGGCAGGCCAGACCACACTGAGATGGACACCTTGCCTGGGCCAGGATGGTGGCATGTGGGGCACAGGAGGAGAAGAGAGAGCTTCAGACTTCTTCCTCCTGGTATGAGTGTTCCCCTCCCCTCCCCCCACCCCCATGCCAGTTCTGGAGACCCCTGGGACATCCAGTCACCAGGAAGTCCAGGTCACCTCCTTCCTCCTTCCCTGGCCTCAGCTGGGCCTGGCAGGCCTGAGGACCAAGCACACCGGGCCCCTGATGGTTGACAGTGTGCCGTGGGCTTTAGCGATTTAGCTTTAGCGTGGGCTTGAACTCAGGGCCTCCTGCTCTTGCCTTTTCTGCTCAAAGCTAGAGCACTGCCACTTGAGTCACACCTCCACTAATGGCTTTTTGCTGGGTTATTGGAGGTAAGAGTCTCACAGACTTTTCTGCCAGGATGAACTTTGAAATTTGATCCTCCAGATCTTAGCCTCCTGAGCAGCTAGGATGACAGGTGTGAGCCGCAGGCGCCTGGCACTGTCCCTGGTTTAATAACCAGGTGTGTCGCGGTGACGCCACTCATTTCTTAACATTTTGAACACACAGGCATCCCCAGCAAGGCCCTCTTATGCATCTTCTGAATCCCCTTCCACCTCAGCCTCTTGCATGCTGGGGTGACCAGCACGCACCTCCAGGCCTGGCTACCATTGTGCTTTAAGCAGACTCACTGGCCTGAGAAAACCCCATGTGTGGAACATGCTGTTGGCCATGGAATAGCTTTCTTAAAAATAAAAAATCCTTTCCTGGGGCTAGGAAGGTGGCTCAGTGGTAGAGTGCTTGCCTCGCATGCATGAGGCCTTGGGTTCAATTCCTCAGCACCATATAAGCAGAAAAAGCTGGAAGTGGCGCTGTGGCTCAAGTGGTAGAGCACTAGCCTTGAGCTGAAGAGCTGAGGGACAGCGCCCAGGCCCCACGACCAGACCCAAAAAACAAACAAACAAAAAAAGAATCCCTTCGTAGTAGCGTCTGGAGCCCCTCGAGCGGTTTCTCCTCATGCCTTGGGTTTCATATCAGGCAGGAGGGAAGGGAAGTGCACCCTCAGGACACGTCAGAGTGAACTGCACAGACTCAGCTGCTCAGTACTTATGATTAAGTCCTACTTTGGGAAGGCAGAGTGCCATTCATTTCTTTTTCTTCCTCTTAATCTTTTTTTTTTTTTCTTGTAGTCTGTCATTTCAGAGCCTTTACTTGGGTTTTCAGAAGACAGGTGGGAGATTGGTTTTGCCAGGTGATTGGTGCTGGGGTAGGGGTGGGGGGGGAAGGAGGGAGG